AAGGGTATCTTGCCCACAGTAGTAGATATAATGGTCATCCGAATTAAATTCACCCATTCCCGTCCATTTCAATTCGCTGATTCCCAAGATGTCGACGTTCAATCTTGTCATCTCATGTTTGACCACATCCAGCTTGCCTTGGTTCATAGATCTTACATTCCAGGTACCTATACAATATTGTTCTTTACAGCATCGGACCTTCTTTTCGCTTCCAGATACATCCACAGCTGAACGTCCTTTCGGCTTTGGCCCAGCCGCTTCACTCTTTCTGGAGCTACTTGGAATTGCCCTCCGCTCTTCCCCAGTAGCATATTGGACACCTTCCGACCTGAGGGGCTCATCTTCCGGCGTCATATCTTTTAGCCTCAGTTGCTGATACCTATGAGTAATGAGATCCTTTCCCATAGTCAAAGAACATAAATGTTGTAAACATGCTCCTGTTCAGGTTGCCAGCCTCAACTATATCTTTTTTCCTTTTTGGGTATTTCATTACATCCTCGTTACATCCAATTTTCTTCTTATCTAAACTTTAGTTTGTACTTGTGACAGTCCTGAAATAAAACTAAAAACATGATTGACTTGTGAAGTATTATTATTTGTTTTCAGTTGCATAAATATCCATCCAGTAAATCCCAGAAGATGAAATACGTTGCAGATTTATCACTTTACCTAGGAACTAAATTATGCATGTTGTAACATTACAGAGCAAGGCCCAAAGAAGTTGAATAGAAGGACAAGTTTTCAGGGCCAGCGGAAGAATAGATTTTTGTACTTCAGAGATCGCTCTTGGAAATAGATGATTTATGCCCTCCAGTATGGTCCTAGCAGCTGATGGGTGGTGAATCATCTTTCTCACTACTGTACTGCAGTCTCAGCTAAAATTCACTTCCTCCTGGTTAAGGACATGGTTCTCATCTTTCACCACAGAAGTGAATAGAAGCTAGATCAGATGGTAATTTGCAGTAGATCACCAAGGCTTTTCACTTTCAATCAATTTAAATTTGTCTGTGAAAGTGAAGAAAGCTTGATGGAAATAGGAGAAGGTTTGTGTATGAAAAGGTTTGCGCATGTCCCAATGACATATCATAAACTATTATTTGACGCCTCCCTCAATTTCAAAAGAGGCCTGGCCATGCAGCTACTATTGGGAAAATACAAATTCAGGGCTCTGAGAAACATGCAAAACTAGTTGTGCAGTGCCTTGGGTCCTGGCCAATAGTTATAACATCCCAGCTTAAAATTTTAGCATGATTACTGAGTGAGCATAAGTTAAAAATATCCATATTACTCAACTCTGGTAAAAAAGCCATAAGTATTAAAGCAGAACTTCAGAATATAAGTATAGAGTGTCCAACAACTGCCCCCATGTCTCACTTGATTTTTTTCTGAAGCTCTGAGAAGTCTAAAGCAAAGAGAGCTACTGAATGTCATTGCTTGTCTGAAGCCAGGTGGTCCAACAGAACTTGACTGGTTCAGACACACCCGTTCCTGAAGCCTAACTTGTACATGGTACGTGTGGCATCAGGACCATATGCCTCATGACATGACTTTCCCAAATCCAGCAAATCACTTCACCTTCTGTCCATTCTCGGTTGTAGTTTGTGTGTAATTAGTGATGTTGAAATATCCATTTCCTTCATAGGTAATCACTCCTGGCCATTTGCATATTCCAAAACATCCAGATACCCTCTAGTACAAAGTGCTTGGATGACTGTGCTCTCACTAATATCGTTCTCTCGTTCCCCTCTCCCACACCACCACTGCCCCAGTAGTACTCTCAGCTAAGGAGGCTTTAACTCAGAGGCAGAACATATGCTTTGCATGCCAGAGATCGTAGGCTTAATCCTTGGCTTCTCCAGTTAAGAAGTTCTCATCCTAAAAAGTTGCTGCCAGTCAGAGTAGACATATAGACATCAGTACCACTATACATACCAGTACTTTGATCAGAATAAGGCATTTTCATCACTTCTTTGAAACTAATGAATGCCATTGTGACTCATGTGAGGGCATGGTTTGCTGTGGAGTCTTCTCTCTTTCCCCTACCATCCTCTGGTGGTTACTTTTACCATTGTCATTCTCTGATGGAACTGCCAGGATGGGATGAGGACCCACTTGAGTCAGTTTTTTCTGAAATATAAAGTAGCTTTTCTCAATTTGCATTATTGTATTGGAATTCATTTTACAAGGGGCTGCCCTTGAAGACTACCTGGAAACTGATGCAAAAACGTCCTAATGGGTCAGTCTTATCACAAATCAGGAGCAACTCAAGACATGGTTACCACCTATAGGACCCCATAGGCCTCAGAGCCCGACCATTCCCACATAACCTTGACCATCCAGGCTAAGCAAATGCCTCTTGACGGCCCCCTGCCTTTTGTAAGCCAAAACAGGAGGGGGCACTAAAGCGAGCATGTAGCATCTGGGACCCTGCAGGTGCGCCTTCTCTCTGGGGGCGCCTGCCTCTTCTGCAACTATCGCTTCCCCAACATACGGTTGGTCCCAAGCTTGTAGGTCTTTAGAAAGGCAGTTAAGAGTTGGGCGTTTGGGCCAGGATGATCAGAGTTTGCATTAGGAGGAATAAAACAAATTTTAGCCTCTGAACCACAAATAAATTGTTTTATTTTAATTGTATGCCCTTGATTCTCTCTCTCTCTCTCTCTCTCTGATGTTTACTTGTTTTTGTACACTACCCAAAGTCATATTGTTTGTGGCAGCCGTATCAGTGATATAAATGCATAAGCAAACAAACAAGCTCTTAGGTAACGTTATACAGTTTGGCTTACCTGATTTTTCTGCATGAAACACTGCTGATATAGGCGTCTCTTTCATTCTGTTCTGCAAGGAGGCCCTGGGCTTCATCCACAGGGGCAGACAGATTGATGACTTTGAGTTTTCAGAAATGGAGGGGTATTGCCATGATTTCTCTACCCTTGAATGCTAAGACACAGCAACAGTGGTATCTGTTACTGCTGACTACTGCATACAACATACGAGCTACATCTCAAGATCATCTTTAAACTGGAGATTTTATGATTGAAACGCCTCTCCAGATTTTGGGGTTTTCATGGTTCTTCTGCATCTCTCTCTCTCTCTCTTTCTAGCAATAGATGAAAAGATATGGTGAAAAGATCTGAAGAACTTGAAAATTTGCTCATGCTTTTGTTCCTTTTCCATTGGTCCTAAAAGGGATTTTTTTCCTCCTTCTTCTAATTGACCAATATAGCCATCTTGTTCCTTATTCTTGATAGTTAGTGTCATTCCAGGAGATGATGTCACCCAAACCATTGGCTGAAGTGTCCTTAGGTGTCTAATGCTAAGGGGCTGCAAATCTATCAGGGCAAAGGTTTTCAAGTTCATGCATTGCATATGACAGGTGAGCTGCTTTGGTTAAAACACTAAACCAGCACATTCTACCATCAATGGTCCTCCTTTTTCAGTAGCCAAACAGTGGAATTCTGTTGGCTTGGACGTTACAGGCTTAGCTGCCTACCCTCAGACCAAAGGCTAGCTGCTGCTGGGGAGGACAAGGCACACAGGGTGATTTGGCTCTGCAGGGCTGTCTGTATTTGGTTAGCACATGGGGACTAGATAACATGCAATTGCCTCACTACTGATTCACTGAACTTTAGTTTACCGAGGTCAAAGAGTAAAGTTTCCAAGCAGGCTTGAGATTCCACACATCTTTTTCTGCAAATGAAATACGGGCTTCTGGGCCTCAACTGGCATTTGAAAACTAAACAATGTGGCCATGTCAAACATGCACAGCTCCAAACTAATTTGTATCAGAATGATTACTAAACTAATCAGATATATAAATATAGAAAGCAGCTTTAGCCCACTGGTAGGGCTACATATAGTAAGTTCCTAGGTGGGAGATATGAATATATAATTGTTGGTTTTTGTGTGACTAAAAGGATATGAATATTTGACCTAAACTATTACATATGTAAGTTTCTAGACTACATGTTGAGTAGCAGGAGCGATGCCTTAGTTTTCCACGGTTAAATATTCAATGTTTGAATCCCAGAGAGCCAGAAGAGTTTTTTTGTCCCTGTCTAGCTACACAATTACTAGGACACAATTTGTGGGAACTTAGAAAGGGGATTTCATGAGCAGTTCTGCTACTGTTTCGCTCCCAATAATTCAATATGGATATCTATCTCCTTCTAGGCATTTCTATAGATTTAGCCTTGTTATTTTTTATTTTGAAATAAAAACTGACAAGAACTTCCTAGAACTAAATGTTTGCCAACAATTATGCAAAAGGCCTCATTGCATACACAGCTTCACAGTTCTATCCTTTGACGCCTATTCTCATGGGACCTCAAATGTCTCAATACTTGGTTGTAGGAATGGACAGATGCTGAGGCCAACTGCTGCCTTTTCCCCAGAAGGAAATGAAGTTATTTGTTGCTGGAAAGACCACTTCAGAGGTCTGGATTTGCTGAAAGAAATGTTGCTACAGATTCTGAAATGTACATTTTATATGCCTTAGAATATCAGTTAAGATCTGTTGGAAATATCTATAGTGGATCCAAAAGGTGCCACAAAAGGTAGAAATAGATCATATGTAGAAGAGACAACAAAGAGTCTTGAGGCAGATTTTGACACAGGCCTATATAAACAGTTGAACAAGGACAGCATGAACACAGTACAGAACAAGCAAGTGCCCAATGTCGTTTGCATGGAAGCCCCCAAAGGAGGAGAAGGAGCAACAGCAGCAACCAGTAAATGTCTTGGTATTTGCTACAGTTTCCAAATTATTAATTCAATCTGTGATGTGGGACAGATGTTGTGGCAAAGAAACTAAAAACAAACATCAGGCTGGGAAAGGCAATAGAGACCAACATGATACCACTCTATATAATTCCCTATGGGCCAGTTCCATACAGTTTCCAAATGACTGGACCAATGAGCAATGGGAGATTGAGCAAGTCATATAAACAGAGCAAATCCCAGGGTCTGCAATCAGTTCAGTGGAGTGTCTACAGTGAGCAGCAGTTCCCAACTGGAGAAGGCGGGGGGAGGAAGATCTTTGCTCCAGTGTCTTCCAAATGTTCCTCACAAAATTCTATCCAGATCTGTTTGCATAACACAATGTTCTCTTTTTTTAAAAAAAATCGACCATGCTCACACTGGTTCCTAGGGTGCTAGATCAACAAAAGGATATTCAATTAATTCAGAGGAAAGAATCCCTTCTCGCAAAGGAATTAATCCTGCAATGGAAGCAAATTTAGTTGCCAGAGACCAATAATTAGATATATATTCTTTTTCCCTCAGAATGAAGAAGAATGAAGACATGAAGAAGAATAAATCACAGTGGGAGCTAGAGAGAATGAAATGAGCCAGTTATATGAATGGATAAGTAGCCCAAACTAGCCAAAGGTATTTCACTGCTCTTTAGTCACATTGGCTTGGAAAATATGCTCTCAAAATAGTGTAATTCAGCGTGTCATACAATAACTCCTACCACCCCTGGGTAGCAGGCCAATGGATATACAGTACTGGAAGGGGGTTACGGGAACTTTATTTCAACTTCTCTGGAGGCTGATGGTTTGGGGAAGACTGCTCTAACAGGACACAGTCCTAAGCAGTTTGAAGCTTGGAGCTTTTCCTTCTCATCCAGAACTGAGCCACAAAAATACTAGAGATAAGATGTTCTGCCAGAAGATAGCAAACTAATTTGATATTCTTGTCAAGAAATCTACATGCTGTATTCATGAAGTCACAAGGAGTTAAGATCAAAGTGAAAAGAGACTTTACTATTACTATCATTTCTCCTCCTTGCCCTCTGCACTGGTTAGATCATACTTGAAGTACTGAGTTCAGGGGTGGGTACCACAAAACTGAAGAAACACCACACTTTAAAAAGGACATGGAAAAGCAGTATCTGCAGTGCAAGGCAAAGGGGGTCAGACTGATGAAAATAGCATTGTTCTGTTGTGACACACAATCTCACAACTTTGTATATGAATTGTGATGTCTCACATTGATGCCACAATGTTGCTTTTGTCTCTCTGACCTCCCCCCACACCCTGCTAGGAATGGTTGAAAGAGATGGGCATGTTTAGCTTGCAAAAGGGAACACTGATTGATGATAGGAGTTTACAAATATCTAAAAGGCTATCACATAGGCTATCACATGCACAAGAGGATGGGCGTGTTCTTTGTGGAAACTGAGAGCAGGACAAGGGCCAAAGGGTTGACATTCAAAGAAAGGTATTAGGATGAATTTCGTGGTAAGCTGTTGAGCAGTGGAACAGTTTGCCCAGAACAGTGGTGGACTCTCTCTCTTGCTGGAGACTCTCCAATGGGAGCTGGATGGGGTTGGTTTAGTGTAGGAAACTCAAAATCAAATCATCAACATGCTGGGTGAGGGCTGCAATACAGAAGTCTTTTTCTACATTGATGCAAAAGTTTCTACGGAGTAAAAAAACGAAGAAAATGAAACTATCATTAACATACATTTATTAAATAATAGCTTTTAAAACATTACATACCTAGAGCTAGTTGTGAATCAGAGCTATGAAACAGCTCTTTCACTTTGATCACTTAGCTGGTTGTGTTTTTTCATTAACCAGAACACCAATATTTGTTTTAAAACTAGGTTGATTTCTTTCAAGGTCGTATCTAGGATGATATAAGTTCAGAAATCCATTCCAGAGCTGTCTGTATTCTGCTTTTCTTTTTTTACTCTCGCCTTGCTGAGCAGAGAGACCTTTCTTTCATTTGTCTTTTCTTGCTTATTTTCCATTCTCTGGTCTTCTGCATGCGCTGTCCTGAGCTGAGTTGAGTTGAGAAGCACCAGCATGCATTGTGGTAGTGTTTATGCAGAAATCCCTTAAAGCAGAACGGGACAACTTTCATTTAAAGATAGGTATCCTTGTTATTTCTTTATGGAATGCAATATTTAATTTGGGTTTTTGAGGAGAAGTTCACATCCATTGTACACTTCTCTGAGCCAGTTCAGATCAGTCCTGGACTACGTGGCCCAACAAAATTGACTAGTTTGGCAGCTGAACCGGTTTATTTCTGGTTCAAATACCAAACACTACGGTAATCAGAACCATACTAAAACTAGCATTTTTTTTTGAAATACTGAATTTTGTGAGTAGTCTGTTCCATCATTTACAGGATGTCTCACTCCAGCTTCTAACTCTAGCAGATTTTTCCAAATCTTTGCACCTCTTTATAGGAACCTCTCTTTTCTTTTTCACACACCAGGTAAACGTATACAACATGGAGTAAGGGCTTGGTGGTGGCAGTGGACTATAGGCAAGAGATTTCTTTTAATTTCATTTTCCATGGAATGCGGGGGGTGTGTGTGAGATTTTGGGGAGCTCCAGTTGCTGCAGGAAGTGAATCAACGAAGAGGCATTTGTACCCTTGTTATCAACATACTGAGGTTGGCAGCAGTGAAGAGAATCTACTTTTAATAGACCAGGGAGTGGAAATGGTGCTCATGGTGAAAAAAGAGACAAAGTATCACAAGAAGCCAAGCAGAAGATGTTTGTTATGTAGCAACCCACCCAAATATAACTGAATGACATGGATTTCGAACTTCATAATTTTGATCAGTTACATTTGTGCATGATGTTGCCATGAGTCAAAAGCAAACAAACAAAAATCCAAGTGTGTGTGTGTGTGTTTTGGGGGTGGTGGTGGTGGGGAGAATCCTCTTTTAATTTCCAAATGCTAAGACCTTTTTACAAAGACATCTCCCTTCTTCTGCTTGATTCAAGCTCCACAGTTCTTGAAATTAACATCTTGCTACCGTGGCAAAAAGTTCATTTTATTGCATATTTTAAACTTCAGAAATGTGTGAGTTCCCCCTTGGAAGTTCCTGTAGCATAAAAACAGGGCCAGGCTTTTCAGCTCTTCAGGTTTCTAGCCACACTGCTGGTCATTGCTGAGAGTTCTCATCTGTTGGCTTCGTAGCTCTGAAATGAGTCAAACTTCCATCTTCTTTGTGATGGAAAGACCTTTGACTAAAAACCATTGTCACAATGTCTGAAGGCTGTTTCAGGTAGACCGTTCCTAATGCTACTCCTTAAAAAGCCTTGTCCAGATGCCTTCCCATCCTTTGAAGTTCTTTTTCATGCTAATGTAAAGGATAGAAGAAATAGTGACAGTCCCACCTGGAAGAGCTCTCAGTGCTATGGAGCATGTCCAAGCGTGCTTCTGCAGCTCCTCCACCAGCAACCAGAATATTGTGGGAGTTGCATTTGAATGACCAATGAATGACTGGAAAAAGCCCAATAATGTATTATTTTTATTAGAGTACTGATTATGTCTTGAATCCATATGTGATGCCGAGACTGCATGGTTTGAAAACACTCTGGAGTATCTTGTGAATGTCTTGAATCCATATGTGATGCCGAGACTGCATGGTTTGAAAACACTCTGGAGTATCTTGTGAATGTCTTGAATCCATATGTGATGCCGAGACTGCATGGTTTGAAAACACTCTGGAGTATCTTGTGAATGCAGTTGGTATTTGTGGGCAATGAAATTGCATTGACAATAAACAACTGATATCCTAAACAGGAAATCTTTTGCATTTTTTCCTGCTCAGTCATTTCTCCCTAGTTAAATATGAAAGTCTGATGTTTCAAAAATGCTTCTTAAGGTTAACATTTGATCAGAATGCTGGTTTAGAGAAAGGATGTGTCTTATCAAGATATCTTGGAAGTGGCCTTCTACGATTTCAGAATGGTAAGGCTGGGGTAACTGTAATCCTCAATTACTGTAATGTTCAATTACTTAAATGCTCAATTTAAGTGTAATTTTAAAATGTACGTTAAAGTAGCATACTATGCCAAGGAAAACACTTTTAATCTAATCTTTTTCTAATTGCAGGGACTTTTTAAAAAAAACATTGGGGAAGCATTCTGACATGGGATTTCATACCTGTATTTTGAAATAAAGATAATATCTTGGGCTTGTTCTGAACATGCAGATCATTGATCAAAATCACAGCATCAGAGGACTTGAAAAGATAATTTACGCTTAGCTCAAGGTCCTGTGATGAGGCAACATTTGCAATATCTAAGCTAGCTTGTTCTGAGGTTCATAATCTCACTCATGGCTGTCTGCAATTTGAGAACTTCCCCTAAGTGGCTATTTCACCCGCATCTCCATTTCCAAAGACAAATAATTTCAAATCCTTGAATCTCCATCATTCATCATGATTTATACCTTCCAATATACCTTCTTTAGTTTGTCTTTCTTCAAAAATTGAGCTTCCAATGAAATGCTGTGCTCCGTTTCTAGTCTCAAGAATAAAATCAAAATAAAATTTTTTTTCCCCATGTGTCAGATCTTTTATATTTTTACTCATGGAACACAAAATCATACTTGGTGATCTGAAACAAGCTCACATTGCTGACACATTTGTGTTCACATGACTAATCCAGAGATTTCTTACCAGTACATATTTATTGCCCCCTCCCCGCCCATGTTTGTATAAACACAGTTCATCTTACCTTTCCTGCAATGGCACTATCAGGACTGAGTGGAGCTGGGCAAGATGCCATCTGGGGAAAGTTGACATCACAATTCTCTCTGTCTGATTGCACAGCCATGGTGGTTCTCCTATTTTAAAAGAAATAAAAGGAGTCTCCCTTCATGGCACTTCATAAGGAAATGAATGGATCTTCCCTCCACCCCCATTTTCCCTTTTTTAATTCTCATTGGATGGATAGTGATAGCAGCAGTGCCAGCTGCCTCCCTGTATCTTACAGAACTCTAGTATCTGGGAACAGAATATGTTAACGAAAACTTCCTGGAACTTTACTCTGCAACAATCCTATTTCCTCCGCCGCTACCCCCTTCACAAAGTACAATTTGATGAGATTTGTTTGAAACTGTTGTGGCAACTCCCACTATCCTTTGGGAGACCATGGGCTATCGGAGCCATGAACCTGTGCCAACCAGTCAAGCTCTCAGTGTCCCACTACATTTCTGGGAGATGATACCTGTTGTTCATGGTCCAGAACGATGGCTCTGTTTTGCTTGCAGAAAGCCCAAGTTTTAATCCAAAGGCTCTCAAGCCTTGCAAAACTGTTAACACCTGGAATCAGAAAGCCGGGAGAACAGATGTTTTAGTGGCCAGACTTGTTATAGGACAGTTTCGTGAAATGCTCCAGCTTATCAAGAAGCAATGGCTTTGTATTGGTAGCCTCCTAAGTCTTCTCAAGGTTACCCTGTTTTGCTGTTCTCTTTGCCATAACTCTGAATACTGGCTTTTTCAGTTCCTCACCATGTTTCTAATATCAGTGTTAAGTACTCAACATGAGAAAAGTTGGATGGACTTTAGAACTAACACGAGTGCTTGTTTACAAAGGCCAAATTAAAAACATGATGTTAGCAATTGTACAATTTTTAAAAATGTCATTGCCTCATCTTGTTCCGCCAAAAGACTTGTTTTCTAGATCGTTAAGAACAATCATACTATAGAGGTACAGCACAATTTTCAAGGTCAGTTTTCAGAGTCAGCTCACATATATCTTTCCTGTGTACACATTCAAGAGAAGTGCCTGTAGTTTAGCTGAGCCCTCAACTCCCTCAATCAATCTCTACATCAGTGTTTCTCAACCTTGGCAGCTTGAAGATGTGTGGACTTCAACTTCCAGAATTCCCCAGCCAGCATGCTGGCTGGGGAATTCTGGGAGGTGAAGTCCACACATCTTCAAGCTGCCAAGGTTGAGAAATACTGCTCTACATACAGACTCCAGGGCAGAGAGAGACACATGCATGAGATACGGGCTGTAAAACAGAGACATATGTGCTGGTTTCATTTGTATGAGCTTCCCCCAAAAGAGGAAGAGAATCTATACTTTTTAAAGAAGATATACTGTCTTAATCTCATACAGTTGTGGAAAGAGGAACTTGGGCGTGACTTGAGTAAGAACGAACAACTTTGGGATGAAAAATCTGGTTCCTCTTCAGTAGTATGGTCTACTTCTCTATTAAAATTCCAGTTGCCACGTACATATTGGTGGCCCAAACCGTATGCATGTTGCCTCTAGTGGAAGGTTATGGGATTCTTTGATTCCATGGAAATATACATTGTATACGGAATGCAGATCATTATTGCACAAGGATAGCAAATTAAATGGACCTCGTAAATAATATTCTTCATAACTGAGTATGTTCTAGCACACTTCAGGTTACCCAGTCATGTGTCCAGTATTCAGGCCCTTTTACTGCCTAGTGCTAGCAAATCTGGGCTGCAAAAACCAGCATAGTCACTTGATGACAGCAAAGAGGGTTTTCTTTATCTCACTGAATGCTCATCAGGACTTTTGCATAAAATTTGGATTTTCTGGTAGCCCTCCACTACACAAACAACGTAGCCATCTCCCAGGCACTAGACAAGCTTTTGTGCACAGGCAACACACAAGTGAGGAGGCCCAATCATTTTAACCCTCCTCCCAGTCATCACAAAGGATCTGGAAGGCTGTCTGCCCAACTTCCTATTTATCCTCTAAGCTAGAGTGATTAAAAATATTTATTTATTTATTTATTTATTTATTCATTCATTCATTCATTCATTCAATTTTGATGCTGCCCGACTCCAACCAACTCTGGATGGCTCAGTCAAGGACAGCATCATCCTAGACAGGTTTAGGGAGGCAGTTTTACTTCCCATATGTTTCTGCTTACTTTTCACTCCCTCTTGCATGTGATTGCATGGGAGAGATGCTGAAACAATCAATGGGTGGCTAGCAAAGCTCTATTTTGATGGAACCTCTAGGACATCAGCTTGATCTTGGAGGATGTCAGGGTTAATTAATCCTATGTTCAGCAGTTCTCATGAAATGGCTAATTGGTAGAGTTTGTTTAGTTCTATGCAAGATTGGATCTGTTTAGGCTAAACATAACCCATTTTGTTACGTTTAGTTGGTTAGGTCAGTCTACTCCCATGACACAATAACCCCCACCATAGCCAAACTATATTGTGTGTTTGTGCATCTGATCTCTATAATTCCTCCAACTCAAAAATAAAAAAAGGGTAGAAATTGTGCATATTGATCCTTCAACATTTAATCTGCCATTCTGCATCAAAGATTTGCAGAAATGAACCCCACAACATATACAACTACTAAATATAAGTTTCTCATTAGACATAACTTCTCCAAAGCCAGATTAACATAAATATTTGAAGGTCAAGAAAATTGTTATAGAAATAGCTTCAAAATTGTAGAAAATTATATCTCTATTAATTGGTAATTGTCTCTAGATTTTATCTGTCCTCCTCCTTTTTCATGCTGGCTGATCTCAAAGAGCTGATTAGAGTCAGGCCTGATTAGTACTTGGATAGGAGACCAAGTCCAGAGCTATAGACTAAATTTGGTAGTCAAAAAATATTATGGAAGAAGAAGCATCCACAGACTTCCATATTGTTGCCGAGACTAGGAATCAGCTTTGATTTGGAGGTTTAGCTTTTCACCCTATATTGTCCCAATGTTCTTTGGCTACTTTAGTGAAAGTTTCTAGAGGTCATTAGCCAGAGTTTAACCCTAACACAGAAGCTCCATCTCTGAATACAGAAAGATATGGCACCTCTAGGGCCAATACATACATACATACATACATACATACATACATACATATACATACATAAGAAACAATGTTACAATAACGTTGGAATCAGACTTCTTCAGCTTGGTGGTCTCCAGATGTGCTGGATTACAACTTCCATCAACACCAGTGGGTTTTTTCCCCCTCTCTAGGCAATGACAGAAGACATGGATATAGCAAAGAAATTTCCAGAAGATGAAACAAATCATTCAACAATGTGTACTAATGTATACCATCTTCAGGTGAAAAGATCTGATAGCAGAAAGTTATTGCTCATCATCTATTATTCCATTTACTAGTAGGACTTCTCCATCTGGACTGCAAAAATCCAGATGACTTCTAGATTGCAACAAGGAGATGTGGAAACCAAACTCTTTGTTACTATCTACTGGTTGACTGGATTATTGCTGCCCAAAATTGGAAGCCCTATCTATTAGCAATCTTTGTTGATCTCAAAAGTTCAGCAGAATTATCCCTAGTTAGTACTGGGTGTGTGTATGTGTGTGCGTGCTCTCTAACCACTGAAGGGATATCGGCTAGATTGGGAAATTAAACAGTCATCCTGGAAGAATGTAATGGCAAATCACTTCTGTAATGCTCCCAAGAAAACTGTATCGATGCACTCTTCAGAAGTCAAGGGAGTACATTGACATTTTAACTCAAAACTGAACTATCCCCAGTGACTTTTGAGACAAATGAAAATAATTTTAAAAAGCTAACATTCTGGTTGGGCAAATTGTCTGAAATGAGGCAACAATTGGCCATTGGTCATACTAGTTGGAGGATTATGGAATTTGAAGTCTGGAGAGTCACGTTTAGGGAAGGCTGATTTAGCAGTTTCCCTTGTTCCTAATTTGGGGATATGATATTTCCTATTTGCTCTTTAGTAAAACACAAAACCTCTGGTGTTAGCAGAGAGGAGTGACAAATTCTTTTCATTTTGAAGTAGCTTCTGAAAAATATTTTTGTGAAGTGGTAGGAGGGAACATTAACCCTCTTTTCTAAGTCCATGGCAGTTAAGGCCTTGGGCTGGCGTTGGGGCACCCAAGTTCTAGTCCAATCACTTCCAAAATATGTCCATATTCTGGCCTGAATCGCAGCTCTTCCCCTGTGATTTGCAATGCCCTGGAACACAACCCCCAGATCATACCTCACTACGTCTGTTTGCTTCTGACATTTTATTTTTTACTTGGCCCCTAACTGGTCCTACTCTACTTTCCGTATGCTTACTTCTTTACTTGAATCACAGCCTGTCTTTCTGTTCAAACTGAACCCTCAAGGCAGCTCACCTCTAAAAACAAAGGAATGATATACAAAACTACAAAAGGTGAAATAAAATAAAATGAAAGCATAATAGTGTACATATGAGCAATGATCAGTGTGGCAGGGCAACAAGGAGGGATAAGAGTGTTGAAAGGGAAATGAAAGGGTTACAGATGTAAAAAGACAACTGTGTCATTTAAGAATTACATCAAAGGAAGCATCTCTCTAATCCAGTGTTTTTCAACCTTGGCAACTCTAAGAGGGGTGGGCTGGGGAATTCTGGGAGTTGAAGTCCATACATCTTCAAACTGCCATGTTTGAGAAACACTACTCTAATCAATGTTAATATCCAAATGACTTCCTTTCCAGAAGGGTGTGTAGAGTAACAGCAGTCCACTTTTGTGAGGCTGGGGGCAAATCAGAACAAAATAATAATCTGTCTAAAAGAGCAAAACTGAATTGCATGGGGATTAAAAAAAAAAAAGTTTTGATGGAGTTTGGATTTTTAGAAAAAAGTAAAATAGATTTAATTAAGCCTATTTGCTCATTTTAACAAAAGACACACACACACACACATCCAGTTTGCTGCTAAATATAAGCCACATAATCAGGATGAGGTTGACTGGGGGAATAAATAAGACTCTTATGTACTGGATGGCAACTCAAAATCCAAGCAACATTTTGCAGCATGCAGAATATACCACTCCATAATCATTCCTGCAAAATCA